CAGTCTTATAGGAAGGATACGTCAATGATTTTTTTGGGTGGAGATATTTATATAAATATCCTTTATATGAAGAATGTAACCATGCAGACTATTAAAATAGACAACATGAAATGTACTTAAACAATAAAGTCATTGATATGTTTGTGATTCTGTGTTTATCATCTTCTATACTAATGAGCATGTTTTGCTAAATAGAAATAGATGAGCTCTGAACAATATGTAACAAAAATATTTGAGCCTTAAGAAGTTTTAGCACTAGTTATCATCCATTACACTTATTTTTCATGATGTCAATTTTTCAAAAATCATTTTGTCCAACAATGTATTCTATATTTTCTCAGCCAACTTAAGTTCTGGTCACTTGAGTTTTTTTTCAGTAATAATAACAACTAAAACCATACCCACCTGTCATACACATATCACCATTAGCATGGGCCTCAATTCAATAAAAATAAAGATTGACCTAAGTGCTGAGAAACAGGCTCAGTTGGTCCCACCTCCTACTGAACCCTGTGCCACTCAGACCATCCTCTGGTAACTGGAATGAACTTCAAGGCATTCTCCAGGCACTCATCTTCAGTGATGGTGCATCAATCTAACTTCAGCTCCAGCTTGAAATCCGGTACAACCCAAACAAAGTCTGGAAAGAAACTCACAAACTTGGCTGAGTCATCTCCTTCACCAGAGCTGGGAGATTAGCTTTGTTAGTTCAGTCACATAGCTGGGATCTTAGCTAAGGAATAAGAAGTGCTCCACGCTAAAATTTCCAGATCTCACCCAGAAACAATTTTTATTAACGTTCCCATTAATCCTGTGTTCTTTTCACTCAACCATGATTATTGACACGAGGAAACAACAACGACAAAAATAGTCTCAGTTACATTCCTGTAGCCTTCATGGCACATGGTGGTTGGGTTCCTGGAAGGATACTGCAGCTGCTCCAGGGCCTGGTAGTTGATGTGGTTCATGCTGTTGTAGATAAACATGCTGCTTAGAAGCACAGCCAGGGCAAAGATTTATGAGTCATTCTTAGGGTTTCCCTAGAAAGTGCATTACAGTAGGGGACTTAGATGTCTATTGTTTTTTTGTTGTTGTTGTTGTTTTTTAAAATATATTTTATTGATTTTTTTACAGAGAGGAAGGGAGAGAGATAGAGAGTTAGAAACATCGATGAGAGAGAAACATCGATCAGCTGCCTCCTGCACATCTCCTACTGGGGATGTGCCCGCAACCCAGGTACATGCCCTTGACTGGAATCGAACCTGGGACCCTTCAGTCCGCAGGTCGACGCTCTATCCACTGAGCCAAACCGGTTTTGGCTATTGTTTTTTTTTATTTGTTTTTATTTTTGAAAATGAAAAATAAAAATTAAAAAAATAGGGTTTTTTTGGCTAATACTCACTTGAGGATACTTTTTCTATTGATTTTTTAGAGAGAGTGGAATGAATGAAATGGAGGGAGGAAAGAAGGGAGAGAGAGAGAGAGAGAGAGAGAGAGAGAGAGAGAGAGAGAGAGGGATGTGAGAGAGACATATCCATTGGTTGCCACCTGCTTCCCCCTTCCTCGGGACTGGAATTGAACTTGCCACCCAGGTACGTGCTCTTGACAGGAAATTGAAACTTCAACCCTTCAGTTCACAGGCCAACGCTCTAACCACTGAGTCACATCAGCCAGGGCAAAAAACTACCATTTTAATCAAAATTTTACTTTAAAGATGTAAAAATAAAATGAAAATGTTAGAGTTTTTTTTAAAAAAAATACATTTACTATAAAATTAATGAGAGAAAAAATTCTCAAAGCCAAACTGTAGATGATGCCTGTTTTCTAAATGTGAACACAGTAATGCAAGGTTTAAGCGTATAAATGTCTTTCTCTCAACAGACACATTTTTCCAATTTATCTCTCATCTTACAATATAATCCATCACTAACATACAAATCACACCTAAAACTAGACTTACTTAGGTTTTAGTCTGTTTTTTGTTTGTTTGTTTGTTTGTTTTTCACAAAAACAAGCTTGGTAGCTATGAGTTCATATTAAATTGTGTCTTAAGGCTCAATTCAAATTCCAGTATTATGTTTATCATCACATAAACAACAATGAAAATAAAGCCTGCAGTGAGCACAATTAATAAGTGATCTAAAACAAGTGGAACAATGGTGGGAAGCTACAAAAGCTGACTTTTATTTCAGTCAGAAACCATGAAGCCTTCTAGTGCCATGCGATATACAAATTGTACTCTCTCGCAACAGCTTTAGTGTCTCAAATGCTAGGAACTAGTAAAAACTTTAAGCTTGACGAACTCCAATGTGGAAATACTACTCCAAGCATTTGACCTGAAGTGACTGAGCAGGTACTTAAAAAAGTTAATGCATGAAAAACCTGAGAGCATGAGACATCCTTTAAGAAAGGGATCTTTAAATGAACTTCTGACTCTGGAGGGCCTCTACCCTTCACTTCTAATTAAGCATAGAAGAAAAACAGAGACTGGCTAATTTGTTGGGTTTTTTTTAATCCAAATAAAATGCTAACTTAATGGAATCCTTAGTTATTCAAAGTCATAGGTGAACCACACAGTAAGCCAAGGATAACAATCCAGATCTATTGTTAAAAGTACAAGTTCATGGACAGAATTATCATAATGCCATTTTAAATATTATCTACTTTTTTTAAAAAAAACACACAAATCTTCATCATTTAGGCAAAAAACAAATTTTACTTTTCTTCAAAGAGATGTCAATGATAAATGTGATTAAAACATTTGAGTAAAACCTTTTGTCATTTTTTTCCTTGACCTACTGAATATTTTCCAGTTCCATTTTGTAGTTTCATTGGATGACTTTGGGAAAATAACATGGCAAATATTGCTGTTATATAATACAAAAGAGGCTCTCATTTATAAGCAAACCTGGAACTTAGAAGGGCGTTGGAAATATGTCAGTGAAGAGCTCATTTAAAAAACTATTCAGCATTTAGTATGTAGAGAATTGGAATGCACAATTAAAGACTGTAGTTCTTGTGGAGAGCATTATGCTAAGTGAAATAAGCCAGTCAATGAAGGAAAAATACCACATGATCTCACTCATTCATGGATAATAGAGACCATTATAAACTTTTGAACAATAATAGATACAGAGGCAGAGCTGCCTCAAACAGATTGTCAAACTGCAGCAGGAAGGCCGGGGAGGGTTGCGGGGCAGGAGGTAGGGGGGTAAGAGATCAACTAAAGGACTTGTATGCATGCATAGAAGCATAACCAGTGGACATAAGACATTGGGGGATAGGGGAGGCTAGGGGATTGTCTAGGGCGGGGGGATAAAATGGACACATATGTAATACCCTTTGTAATACTTTAAGCAATAAAAAAAAAAAAAAATAAAGACTGTAGTTCTTGAAGAAGTGTGATAAAACCTCATTTATCAAAAGACCTTGGTGTCAAAGAGTGCCCTTGCGCCCTCTTCTAACGCTGTAGGAATACATCAGATTTGGATTTCCCTAGGTCTACTACTTCCTTTTAAAAAAAAACAGAACAAGGGTATTGAGCTGCAACTACAACTGACTAGTTCAAAAACTGTTTTAAAAGTTAGGTTTGTATATTATAAATTGTACACTCAAAACCATCTCTTACAGTCCAAGGTAAGTAACCCAGCCAGCTTAAATCAAAGGTTTTCTCACCTAGGTCCCAGTACATGGATGATGGACTCAAGTACTTACTATACTGGGAAGTAGAGATCAAGAAAGTATTTATTGGTCAAAGCTTCAGTTACACAGGATGTGTCCTTGAATCAGATCCCTCTTCAACTCAAGCACTCCTTTACTGACAGAACTTTGTAAATCACACCAAGAAAATCACCCCAGATGGCAAGAGCTAACACATTTGAAATGCGGTCACTGTAGCTTTTTACCTGAACTGCAGAAGCAATTGTGGAGGATGGACTGGATCTAGCCTTCCCCAGTGTTGTAGGACTGAGCGAGTCAGTGAGCTCACCAATAAAATTATAGTAAATTAGAAATATGCTGATATACACCAGAGGGGCAGAACTGTTAGCCCCCGAGAGAAGGAAACTATCCCCAGAACTAGAAGCTTTTTAAATTTAGATTTTCTAAATTCATTCTCCCTCCCCATCTTTTTTTTTCCTTCTCGGTAATGGAAGCCAAAGGTGCATTAGTGCTACTTTCAACTAAGACTCACGCTAACATAAATAAGGAGAAAAGATTGAATTGCAAGTAACACTATAAATACAAAATATTTATATTATTCCATAATAGTGCTTTTTGTGGGTCTAACTCGTGTTTTTAGAGAAGTCAGCACAAAATTCTTCTTTAAAAAATATATATTCCTGGTGTAGCTGAAGCTTTTCTGGAGATTTTTAAGTAGATTATTTCACTGTAATCCATTTTCATGAGTCCTACCTCCAACCCCATTAATCCCTTACAATTTAACTGTAGGTCCCATGGATTATAGTTTCCTCTGAGAATGACTGCATTAGGATCTCAATTTTTGTATCCCTGATACGCTGTTCTGATAACACTGCATATTATTAATCCTCTACTATGCTCTTGGTCTTTGCTTCATTCACTGCCATATCTGTAGCACCTAACACAAAGCCCTGAATGCAGCTGTCCAATAAGTATTTAACTTGTACTTGTTGCCCCAGTGTAAAAATAAAATGATCTATTCTTAATCAAAGTATTGAGTTTACCAAGAAAGTAAGTTCTACAAAATAGAAGTTTGCTTCATTATTCCTAATTAAATTTGTAGCTTAGAGAAATACATCGTGAAAGTTGAGGTGACAAATTAAAATGTAAGTGGAGTATCAAGAACAAAAAATTCTTTCCCGGGCTGCTGCCGGGTCGGTTCCGGTGGAGCCTCCGCGGAGCCGCTATGGCAGAGTGGGTCCTGCCTGGGAAGGAAGCGCTGAGCGAGCTCAGCCAGCGGCAGACTCGCAGCCAGCCGCTGCCCCGCGCTGGCCTCCTCGAGTCCCCGGAGAACGAGAACCATGGTCTCTGGTACCACTGCAGCCACTGAGGAGGAGCGCAGCCTCCGGCAATGTGAGCTCTATGTGCAGAAGCACAACATTCAGGCCCTGCTGAAGGATTCCATTGTGCAGTTGTGCGCTGCTCGAACAGAGAGAACCATGGCATTCCTCAGGGAATACTTCCAGAGGTTGGAGAAGGAGGAGGCCAAACAGATTCAGAATCTGCAGAAAGCAAGCACTCGTGGAGATTCGAGAGAGGATGAAATCTCTCCTCCACCCAACCCAGTGGTTAAAGGCCGGAGACAGCGAGGTGCTATCAGCGCTGAAGTCTACACAGAGGAAGATGCTGCATGATATGTTAGAAAGGTTATACCAAAAGATTATAAGACAATGGCTGCGTTAGCCAAGGCCATTGAAAAGAATGTGCTGTTTTCACATCTTGATGATAATGAGAGAAGTGATATTTTTGACGCCATGTTTCCGCTTTCCTTTATTGCTGGAGAGACCGTTATTCAGCAAGGTGATGAAGGGGACAACTTCTATGTGATTGATCAAGGAGAGATGGATGTCTATGTCAACAATGAATGGGCAACCAGTGTTGGGGAAGGAGGAAGCTTTGGAGAACTTGCTTGGATTTATGGAACACCTCGAGCAGCCACTGTCAAAGCTAAGACAAATGTGAAATTGTGGGGTATTGACCGAGACAGCTATAGAAGAATCCTTATGGGAAGCACTCTGAGAAAGTGGGAGATGTATGAGGAGTTTCTTAGTAAAGTGTCTATTTTAGAATCCTTTGGCAAGTGGGAATGCCTCACAGTAGCTGATGCATTGGAACCAGTCCAGTTTGAAGATGGGCAGAAGATTGTGGTGCAGGGAGAACCAGGGGATGAGTTCTTCATTATCTTAGAGGGGTCAGCCGCTGTGCTACGGCGTAGATCAGAAAACGAAGAGTTTGTTGAAGTGGGAAGATTGGGGCCTTCTGATTATTTTGGTGAAATAGCACTACTGATGAATCGCCCCCAAGCTGCCACGGTGGTGGCTCGTGGCCCTTTGAAGTGCGTTAAGCTGGACCGACCTAGATTTGAACGTGTTCTTGGCCCTTGTTCAGATATCCTCAAACGAAACATCCAGCAGTACAATAGTTTCATGTCACTGTCTGAAATCTGCCTCCCGTGCCTCCCTTTTCACCTCCCCAATCCATGCCTCACTCGAACACTGCTTTATTTTCCCTATTGGCAGCACCACGTGGCCACTGGCATTGCAGCTTCTTGTCTGTTTATATTAAAGTTGCTTTTATTGCACTGTTTTTAATTTGGAGCATTAACTGAATGCTCCTACACAGTTAAATAAATAGAAAGTTCTATGGAGACTTTGCTGTTACTGCTTCTCTTTGTGCAGTGTTAGTATTCCACCTGGCAATACGTGCCATGCTTTTTGGTGAGGGCAGATCCCTGCACCAAATAATACCATAGAGTAATGTTGTAACAGTGCAAGATGTTTTTTTAAGTGATATAATTTTCTAATTATCATAAGCATATTTTAGACTGTGGCCATTTATGCTGTATTTCTTTATAGAATAAATGATTTCTCATTAAGCTCTAAGGATTAGGAAAAGTGATATAGAAAAAATCTCAGAAAGATATCTGCCTGTGTTTAAACTAGATTAAGGGTGGGAAAATACCCATTTTTTTCTAGTTATCAGGTGGATATGACCTGTTATGTTTTCTTCTTCCTTATAACCAGAATTTATGTCAAGCAAATTTGCCTGGTATTGATTATATCTTGTTATTGTTTCCTCTCCAGTTCTAAAATACATTTAGGTGTAGCTATTCATACCTGCCTTTTGAGTTTGAAACTAAATCATAGGCTGCAAATACTAATTATGATTTAACTACATCTGCCTCAGCTCAGAAATTCTGAATAGACCTTTATTGATCCAGCTAGTGTCAAATGTTGATCATAAGATGCTGAATTGAGAATTAGAATTCCAGGTCTTCACTCATGGTTGTTGACTTAGAGCTTTTGGTTAGTGTACATCTTTCAGTTGACTCCAGCGTAATCTGTGTTCATTAACACAGATTCCAGGAGATTGGATTTGCTGGGAATAGATAGAATATATGGAGCAAAAGTCATAACAAAGACTGAGGTGATGTTGCTAAAAGAAGAAATGCCAGGTGGAGAGTTCATTGTTGGGAACTTTGCCCCCCTAAATTCACTGGGGCAAGAGATTTTGGGGAAAAGTTTTTTACTTTGGTTTGACGTTTTCCCCTCCTTTTTACATCAACTAAAATTTAGGGCGGGTGGGGGTGGGGTGGGGTGTGCCTGTGTTGTTGCAAATTGGACTCAAAGGCCGTCCTGCTGAAAAGTTCTGCTTTCCTATCTAGCTTTATTCTCTGGCAGATGTTTTGTTCTTTTAAAGTAAGCTAAAAAACAAAAAAAAATTCTTTGCCTTACTTTTCCCACATCGCCCAGGCCCTCAGTGTCCAGAAGGACCAGAGTGTGGTTCGGCTTCGAGGGGTGGGGTACACACCACATCCAGTTGCCCTTGGTTTCAGACCTCACTGTGGAGCCCAGGCAGAATCCTGCAAAGAAAGAGGGGAAAGTGTATAGAGTAACAGCAGATAGTCCAGGCTGCCAATAGGTTACATTGGTTAAACTTGTCAGAATGTGAGTGCCTGGCTGGGAGAAAGTTGCTTTCATTTCAGCAAGAACAGCCTAACCAATCTTCATACATATTGAGGACCTTCTCAATAAACACTTTGTATCCTCTATTTACCTCATTCTATCATTTGTAGTTCAAGTTATGTCACATTACAGAACTAATATAACCTCTACTGACCTTTATGTATGTGTGTGTGTGTATATATATATATATATATTTAATCCTCATCTGAGGACATGTTTATTGATTTTAGAGAGAGGGAGATGATAGATAGATAGATAGATAGATAGATAGATAGATAGATAGATTGAGAGATAAAATTTGACATGAGAAAGGGAAACATTGATTTGCTGCCTCTTGTACAAACTCCAACCTGGGACTGAACCTGCAACCTAGGTATGTACCCTCACCCAGAATCAAACCTGTGACCTTTTGGTGTACAGGACAATGCTCCAACCAACTGAGCCCCCCAGTCATGGCTTGACCTTTCTATTCTGACACTGAAGAGCTCCCTTGTCCTTCAGGTTCTGGAGGATTTCAACCAGTGGGAAGCATCAAAAGGAGACCAGAGGCCAGACATGCGTTCTCCTCACTTTCCTCCTAGTGAGCCAGGTGTCCTAGTGCCTCTGTTCCTTTACCTTCGGCCACACCCCCTTCCATGCCATGTCTCTGGTCTTTCCACATTCTAGTATCCACTTTTGCTTGCCTCATCTGGCTATAGTAGTTTTAGAGTCTACCTGGCCATTGCTATTGCCACTCTCTTTATGCATCCTCATCCCACATTGGTTCTTTGTGCTGTACTTATGCCCTTGTAAATCATCCCCCATTAAGTGCGCTTCACTACCCCTGAGTGGGTCATCTAAGTCCTGCCAGGACCTGGATAATAAAGCAGCTTTTGTTGGATTTTTTCCCTCCCCTTTACCCTTGTATTTTCCTCAATTTTTTTTTCTCTTCTAAAAAATGATGAGTTCTTTGCTCACTGCTTCAAGTGGGGACAAAATGGAGGGGAAAACAGAAAGGACCTGTGAGATTGTTCTAGACACTCTTTCCAAAGGCAGAAATTAAACACACAGTGGGAGAGGGTGTGAGGTATATGCCAAGGAACCCACTGATGATATATCTAGTCCCACAGTCCAAGATTTTGACCTCTGCCATTTCCCAATGTCTCCTTCAATGAAAAATGAAAATGAACATGATAAAATACCTAGGGGAGGTTGAGTCAGCATGGCTGAAGCCTTTCAATTTCTACATCCAGAGTATATTCCACAGACAGAATATAAAGCCTGAGGTTGTCTGCACTCTTCTACATGTGATAGTGTTTGATTGCTTTCTGACTAATCCATAGTAATCTGATGTTCCCATTACCCCAGTAAAGAAAGGCAGGGTATAATTGGAGGTCACTGGTCTCAGCTTTGGGAGGTAAAATAAGTTGTCAACAAAGAGAGAGCGTTCACTTATGAGAGAGAGAGAGAGAGAGAGAGAGAGAGAGAGAGAGAGAATTCATCAAAGCTTTGTTATGAAATGAAGCAAACAGTTGGATGGTAGCCCCATTGAAATATGGGATATACAGAATATACTGCTATTTGCTTTACCTCCTATCCCTTTTTAAAAACAGCAACTATTGACAATATTTGTATGCTAGAGTTTAGAGCAGAAGTAATGTAGGAGAAAGGAAGGGAATACTTTCTAGAGCTGAGCTGACTAATGGGTGGATCATTGATAGGGCTAGGGAACTCTTTATTCCTGAACAAATGAGTGAGATTTTGTGGACAGATGGGTTTGAAGTTATAAATCTAGCAATGAAACTTAAAAGTTTTCTTCACTGGGAGGAATGAGGCTCTTTTTTAAGATGACCACGAGAGAGACATGATCAGCCTCTGTTATCACTGTCTCCAACCTAATGGTCCCCACCCCAGAACAACACTCACCCTGGTTCTTTCCTGCCAGGCATTTCATCAGGTAGGATTTTCCTGTCCAATACAGACCTGCAATAGCCACCACCATCACAGGCTTAGACATCTTGTCTAGAATCTCTAGTGCTTTTGGATTTACTGTCAGCTAATTATTCTGATTTTCCACCAGATAGATGGGGTCCATCATGGTGTATCCAGAGGCCATGGTGAGCTGTAACCCAGAGGAACAACTTAGTACAACAGAAGATCCTGAAGTCATTAACTAATGGTTACAGAGGTTATTTGCATATCAGCTTTACACTCCTGGAGAGTATATATCAGTTTCCTACATTTTGTATGTTTCTAAAAGATAAGTATTTAGTCTAATGTGTCAAGGCCTAGTACAGATTCCTCATGTACAGTATTATATTGATCTATAAATGAACCTTAAAACAACCTTGCCCATGTGATGCATAAGAGGATTATAATGAGAAAAACAAACAAACCACTAATGATGGAGCCTTGAGAAGGTTAACATACTGGGGGCAAGTTGAGGCAGAATGGGACATGCAGGAGATGAGGAGTGACCAGAGAAGATACCTGGAGTTCCAGAGTGATTTGTTTTCTTGCTAACTGCATATATTCTCTGAGTACCTACCATTTGCTGGGCACTGGTCTATGTGTTCAGTATCAAGTGGTGAACAAAATGGATACCAATTCCTGCCTCATGAAACTCTATCCTAGTGGGAGGAGACAGACAATACAGAAAGAAAATAAGCAGCATGCATAGTATATGTATATTAGATGAGTTTATATAGAGGGTGGTCAGGGAAGGCCTGCCTCTCAGAGAAAGAGAAATAACTGTGATCTTTGACCTTGAGGAGGACAGGTTTAGTGAATCTCAGAGCAGGAGAGGGCTGGAAGAGGGGAGACATTGAAAGGAAGATGAAGAGATGAAGAATGTGGCTCCTTCTCAAAATACAATAGGACAACCCAGCCAGTTTTGCTCAGTGGATAGAGCATCAGCCTGCGGACTGAAGGGTCCCAGGCTCAATTTCAGTCAAGATCATATGCCCAGGTTGTGGGCTCAATCCCCAGTGGGGGCATGCAGGAGGCAGCAGATCAATGATTCTCTCTCATCATTGATGTTTCTATCTCTCTCTCCCTCTCCCTTCCTCTCTAAAATCAATAAAAATATATTTAAAAAGCACACAATAAGACAGAGAAAGATAAGTGTCACATGATCTTGCTCATATGTGGAATCTAAAGAACATAATAAACTGATGAACAAAATATATCCAGAAACATGTAAACAGAATAAACTATAGAATATCAGAGGAAGGTGGGGGTGGGTGGATGGGAAGTGATTAACCAAATAACTTCTCTGCATATATGTGTAACCAGTAGACATAGACAGTAGTGTGGTGAAAGGCCTGGGTGAGGGGGAGGTGCAGGCTAGAAGGGATCAATGGGGAAAAAGAGGGACCTATGTAATACTTTCAACAATAAAGATTAAAAAACACACAATAGGCCAAAGCATTACAGAAGCCAGATAAATTAATGGGTGCAGGAATTCATTTAATTGGAATCAAAGGACATTATTCTTTACTTTTAGGCTGACAAGGAAGAGAGGCAGTAGCCAGCATGTTTTAGGGTATGCCCAGATCTGCCAGAGTCCCACAGCTGGGTGAGGCTCTACTTTACTGTTTTCATCATAGTGGATATAAGCAGGAGGAATTGCAGAGTTTATTTCTTGA